AAATGGCTATAATATATGCAAGAAGTATGGAAAAATGAGGTCGAAAGTGTATTGATAATCTGGCAATTTGTGAGGTAAGAACTAGAACTGTGGATAATATTTTTAATGTTACTAATCTTGGTCAATATAAATTCCGCTATTATTTTGGTTGAAAAGTCTAAAGCAACATCATCTCATGCTATTTAAATCGAGTAATTGGCGAGCTGCAGGATAATATGCATTGTATAATCCCACTTTTATGGAAAAAAAAGAAGTATGTATACACATACATTCATATTGACACAATGAAAGGAATGGAAGGAATCACACTGAGCCAAGAAATGGCGGCAGATTTCACGTGGGGCTCTAAGGAGGCTTTTATTTTAACTTTAGATTCTACTAAATACATATTTAAAATAATTCTGCATTTTTGCCTTTGCTTTAATCATGAGTACATGTTACTATCACAATAAAAATGCACACCACAATATTAACCTCTCTATATAGGTAACAATCTTCAGATTAGTTCTTGTATTTGCAGTTGAATATGATGGATGACGGAATAAATTTACCTAATTATATTTTTGGAAATGATGCCACAGCTATCAAATGTAATTTAATTCATAGCCCAACAACAAAGTCCAAACTTTGTTAAAATATAGAATTATAACCTAATCCTAGTTCCTGCCATAGTTAAACAAAAACAGCAAATGTAAATTCTAATTGTAAATCTAGATCTTCAGATTTTGGATAAGAATACTTGATATGAATACATTCGAAGCTATGAATGCTTTCTTAAATGCTTTCTGTGATGCAGTCTGTGATACAGTCGCGCAGAAACTATGAAGTAGGAACTGTCATGAGATGTATATAGATGGAATGTCTGTAAATTTGGGATGTCACTATGTCACATGAGTTGTGATGGTGCCTGGGAACAAAATGCCATTTCTGAAAAACATGGACCAGTGAGTCATGGGCCTCATTTTCTAACTTACTGACCTAGCGATATTTGAGATATAAATAAAATAGATCAATCACAGATAGGACCTTATTTTTATAGTTAATCAGATACTGTGAAAGTTTTTTTTTAAACTATCTTTACTACTTTTTAGAACTCTAAGAAGATTAAAACAAAATACAGAATAAATGAGAATACTCTCTACTGTGTCTTCTGGTTAATCTTTCATTGATAACTTAGTCTTTACTGTACTCACGTGATCATGTCTTCTGGTTCTTTGTTTAACATCTGTACGTTAGTCAGCATCATACACCTTCCTACTTCTTTATCAAGGTGCCTTAAAATGTTGTCTACAGCTTTTCGTACTTGAGAGTAATATAAGGACATTCCTGAAAAACATACATTATAGTTATACCTTCAACTGAATCTGTCAAAGGATATCCTGATTTATTCATCCTCTATAACATTTTTTACAGAAGACCTTAGGAGTCAATGACTTCCTTGAGCAAAAGGGCTGTCTGATTTAATCTCATCTACACAGCTTTTAGCATAGTGCCTTGCACTTAGTAGGTGTTCACCAGATAATCATTTAAACTCAATTTATAGGAATTCTAATACTCAATTGGAAGTATTTTCCAGAAGAGTTAAAATAATAAGAAAATACAAAATTCAAATTAAAGCAATTTGAATTTTAAAGTTTATAGTTAGCATAAGAAAATTCACCATCATTAGTGATTATGTGAATAAAGAATAATTCTCATTTGGGGTTAGGACTTTAATAACTCCATATGACCCTCTGAAATATATATGTTAATTTTTTAGTAAAATAAAATAACTTCACATTATAAATTCAAAAATGAAGAAAAACATATTTTAGCTATATTATTTTTATTGTTCTCATTAACTACACTGTCCATGTCCCACACTGGAAGATGAATGTGTATACGAATTATACAAATGAAAAGTAAATACCTTTGTATTTGAAATTTGTACCTTAGTGAAATAATTATTCATGATTATTTCTCATGCATTACAGCCTTTTTTTTTTTTTTTGAGATGGAGTTTCACTCTTGTTGTCCAGGCTGGAGTGGAATGGTGTGATCTTGGCTCATCGCAACCTCCGCCTCCCGGGTTCAAGCAATTCTCCTGCCTCAGCCTCCCAAATTGCTGGGATTACAGGCATGCACCACCATGCCCCACTAATTTTGTATTTTTAGTAGAGACAGGGTTTCTCCATGTTGGTCAGGTTGGTTTCAAACTCCCAACCTCAGGTGGAGTTTCAGCCTCCCAAAGTGCTGGGATTACAGGCTTGAGCCACTGTGCCCAGCCTATTACACCTTTTAAAAGTCATTTAAACATTGCATAACTAAAGAGAAATATTTCAAAGCAAAAAGTTTCCTTGTGTTTCCCTCAGGTCTGTAGAATCCAGTAACTATCTTAATAAAGTTTGTAGTAGGTGTCTACATTTAGGTACTTGGTAACAAATGAACAAATGCAAAAAAATCACCTCTTTAGATAAGATAGTTAAATCAGAAAATCATCTCATGTAGTCTAAATCCACAATATAACTTGATGTGTGTTGTGAGATTTGGCATGTTTAAAACACATGTTAAACTAATTTAACTAAAGAAAAAAAGAAGGAGATGAATGAATGAATTGATAAACAGGATTATCTAGTAAAACACAGATGTCTTGGAAGCTTACTGAAAAATGTAGTAATCAATATTAGAGGCTTAAAAAGACCATAGATAAAAGTCTAACATTTAAATGGCAAAATATTTACCAGGAAGTTCTGAAAAGTTTAAAGAGCAGTAAAACAAAACACAGCATGAATCAATCAAAACAATTAATGTTGGAATGTCTTATCACCTACTTCTATAAAGATTTTTAAAAAGTGCATCTCACTAAAGTTAAATATCTACTGGTCATTTTAAGGGCTTAATAAGGCTTAGTTCTAATGCACTCTGAAACTCACCTATCATTTTGGCTTCCTCTTCAGTTAGCGTTTTACTCAAATATGTTTTCTTTACTCTCAATGTGTTTCCTGAAGGAAGAACGGCTCCTGTAACTGGCATGGGAGGTTCCCCGTCTTTCTGCTGCAAGCTATCAGCTATGACCAAGAATGCCCGTAAACCAATGTTCATTCTCTGTAAGAGACATTAATTTCATGACAAAAGGAAAGGCCCAATTATTGTAGTGGAATACATCCATAAGTCTTTCAGAGAGTTAAGACTGAATTGCATGTAGATTAGTATAAGAAAATAATTTAAAAGGCACGAGAGTGTAGGGCAATCTTATGAAAATAAAATTAAGTTTCTGTCACTGTTTTTTGTTGCTGCATCATAAGAAAACAACAGGGGGGATTTCACCAAATGTGGAGGGCATGTTTGAGATGGTCATGTACTATATTCAGTTGAGGGGAATGCTGTGTGTATCTCTAAAAGATATGCCTCATCCTCTGGAGCAGGTGTAACTAAGGAAAACTGAGGTAAATAAGGGCTTATGTGTCTCCTGGTAGAAGGGAGGCACCACATGTGTTAGCCCACAAAGACTGAACGGAAACACCCAGAGATCCAAATGGGAACCACAGAATGAACATTGCCTGCTCTCAACTGCAGGTCCTGACTTCTGATTTACAAAAGCCAGCAAGTTTGAGAATAAATTTTAAAAATTCAGTGCCACAGAACCTGTTACTGATGAAAACACACGGGAGTGTAAGAAGAAATGTGATTGTGGGCCAGACTGATCTTCCTTAGGCTCAGGTATGGCACAACTGTGGACCTGAAAGACAGCTCAGTAAGACAGGTGCTCCCCCCTAGTGCTCATCTTCAAAGATCAGAAGGTACGTAAACATCTGTACTCCATTAAACAGCCATGTGTGAAACCTTTACACCAGTATTTTTAAACCTCATGAAGTAGTAAGTTCCCCAAGTATACTACTACCTACGGAAGAAAACAATGACGATTACTAGGACTGATGAAAAGAATTAGTTACAATTTATTGAGTCCCTAAAATATATCCAGAACTGCCCATTAACTTTCATCCTTAACACAGCCATATAAGGAAGGTATTCCTATTTCTCAGGGTAAGGTATTCTCATTTTTTCAGAAAAGGAAACTAAGGTATAGTGGGAAGCTTTGCATCTAAATCTGGTTTGCTTGAATCACCTATTTAGTAGAACACGATTACATTTTATAACATAAAGTAACATAGACTTCTATTCATTTTAAAATAATTTATTCAAGCTTTAAGGAGCTGTCATAATTCAACCAGGACTTGGTAAACATTTCTCTGGCCCATTTATAAGCAATTCAATGTGTACTTTATGATTTTTTGGCCTTAAAATGATATGCTTTCTCCATTTTCTAGAATGAAAGAGTATTACTTTAAAAAATAATCTGTGTATCAAAGCCCATTAGTTCCCTCTTTTGACAGTTCTTTTATGAGATGTTTCTAGGCTTGTATGTGTCTCTCAAGACACAGTAATGTTGTGGATAAGAAAATAAAATAGTCAATTCAGCAGATGCAGTACTAATATAATAACTGTGGGATGACACATGTGGTCAAGCCTCAATTATCTGCCAGTGGATTATCCAATTTAGCAATCATCCTTGTCAGTTCTCTAAGTTTTCCTTTTCCCTGGACAACACTAAGGGCAGAAATAAGATGGGATAGTTTGGGACACACATTTTGAAGTTAACTTCAAAAATAATTTCTTTTTTTTTAAATTTCATATAGTTCTGCATCACACCTCTCCCTTTTATTTGACTGGCCTTGGAAAATTACTTAACTTTTCCAAGTCCAGGTATCAGCCTCCTTTCTGTAAAATGAGGATAGTAATACCTATCAATCATATGGGGCTATTGTGAGAATTAAAGAAAAGGCGTGAAAAGCTGCTGCTGGCGAATATCTATTGTAAGCCAGAATCACCACTCTGTTTTTTTTAAATCAAGTTTATTGAGATATAAATTACATGTACTAAAAGTCGCTCCTTTTAGTTGTACAGTTCCTTGAGTTTAGAGAAACATACATAGTCAGGTAACCACCAACAGAATCAAGATCCAAAATATTTCCACCATGCCCAGAAAGTCCCTTGTGCCTTTTTGCAGTTAGTCTTAGCTCCTAACCCAAGCACATGACAAACTTTGTCTAATTTCCACCGATAGTTTTACCTTTTTCATTTACCTTGATGTAAATGGAATCAAACAGTACATAGCCTTTACATCTTGCTTTTTTCACTGAGCACGGTGCTTTTGAGATGTTATTCCAAGTATCAGCAGTTTGTTCATTTTTATTGCTAAACAGTATCCACTGTATTGATGATTCACAATTTGTTCAGCCATTCACTGGAGTTTGGACATGAGTCACTTTTTTATTTTCAGTGGTTATGAATGAGGCTGCTATAAATATTTGCACAAACCTTTGTGAACATGTGTTTGGTTTTCTCTACGAAAAATACCTTGGGATGGAATTGCTGAGTCATATGGTTAAGTATACATTTAATCTTGAAATTGTCATACTTTTCTAAAGTGGTTGTACCTTTTTGTAATCTCACTAGAATAGTATGAGGTTCTAGTTGCTCTTTTTCTTCCCCAGTACGTCTTGTTTTGGTTTTAAATTGAATTTCCTTAACGACTAATGATGTTGAATGTCTTTTCATGAGATTATTAGCCATTTGTATCTCTTCTTTGGTGAAGATGCTGTTCCTTTTGCCCATTTAAAAAACTGAGTTATTTTCTTATTATTGAAATGTGGGAATTCTCTACATAATCAGACGGAAGTCATTTGTCAGATGAGTTTCGTAAATATTTTCTCACAGTCTGTGGCTCTCCACTTTGTTAACTGTTTTTTGAAGTACAGACATTTTTAATTTTGATGTTCAATTTATCAACTTTTTTCTTGTATAGTTTATGATTTTTATGTCCTAGAAATGTTTGCCCACCTGAAGGTCATGAAAATTTTCTTCTGGGAGATGTATAGTATCAGGTTTTACATTTAGGTTTATGATCCATTTTGAGTTAATTTTTGTTTACAGTGCAAATTATAGGCTGAGGTTCAATATTTTGCAGGTGGATATCCAATTGTTTACCATCATTTATTGGAAAGATTATCTTCTATCCACTGAATTAACTTAGAATCATTGTTGAAAATCAATTGACCCTATATGTGTTGGTCTATTTCTAGATTCTCTCTTCTGTTCAACTGGTTTTTATATTCATCCTTCTGCCAATACTACACTGCCTTGATCACTGTACAACTTTATACTAAGTCCTGAAATCAGGCCATGCTAGTCTTCTAATTTTATTCTTCTTTTACTAAATTATGTTGGTTATTCTAGTTCCTTTGATTTTCCATATAAATTTTAGTATCAGCTTATTGATTTCTACAGAAAAGGTACAGAGATTTTAATTGGGTTTATTATTATTGAGATTTCAGTTTAATCTACACAGATCAATTTGGGGACAACTGACCTCTTGTTGTTAACACTGAGTAATTCAATCTACAGTTATTTCTCTTCATGGTTTGGGTCTTCTTTGATTTCTCTCAGTATTTTGTAATTTTCAGTATTAAAATATTGCACATATTTTGTCAGCTTTAGTGCTAAGTATTTTGTTTTTCATTGTTACTGTAAATTGTTCAATTTCTAATTCTTCACAACTAGAATATATTGATTTTATTTCTCTTGTATCCTACAAACTTCCTAAATTCATTTATTAGTCCTAGTAGGTTTTCCTTAGGTTCTTTGTACATAAATAATCATGTTCTCTGTGAATAAAGACAATTTTATTTTTTCCTTTCCAATCTATATGCTTTTATTTCTTCTTCTTGCTGCTAGCGCTGCATAAGATCTCTGGCTTCGCGCTATTGTAGGTCAAGGAAAAACACAGAAATTGATGACCAAGAAACTCTTCTCACAGACCAGCAAGTCTTCACGACAATGAGGATGGATAGAGAAGGTCATTTAGGTGTGCACCAAAACAAGGCAATTACCTAGAAATTACTGAAGAGCTGAGGGGTGGCACAGCATAAACTTTACAGTAAGATAATCCTTTAGATCTCCAGGCCTTGTTCCACAAGCTACTTCGAAAATATTATTTAAGACCCAATCTGAACTGTTTTCCTGAGAACCAATGCCCTACAGCATGTTTCATTGAGTGTATGACATCTGCTTTGCAGACTATGCTGTCCTCCTGTCTGCTTTTGAGTGGGGTTATGGGTATGCCTTTGGGCTTATAATTACCAACTACTGATAAATGCATTATTCCATAAATCTACAAGATCACGAGAAATGGAAGAAGATAACCAAATATTTACTCCCATTGGTATTTTTTCTTAAATCACGGCTCCAACTGCTCTACACAGAGAGGTTAACTAATTAAGCACTGACTGAATGAGGAGTTTGAGAAAAGAACCAAGAATACATTTTATAGACAGTGATAATGATGGTAGTAGTTTTCAACATGTCCTTTTTAGACAAATAATCCAGTAATTCTCAGAACTGATTGTTAAAGACAGTAGAGCCATGACTGCTAAGAAATGAAGAATGTCTTGAGAACCTTCCCAGCAAGAGAAGGCTCTTCACTGTATAGCTCTGGGCCTCCTTCCAGCCAAAAGGCTCTGGTTTGGCACTGGCCCTACCCCCTCCCATTGGCCCAGAGACCCTGGCTGCAGTCATTCCAGAAGCCTGTGAGGTCACTGGACACCAGACAGAAACTCCCATTTTTGGACTTTTGTGCTGTTCCCAGATATGTGGCAACGTTAGTATCAAGAAGAGAATATGGGGTGTGGTGGGGAGCACGGGACAAACAGGGACCTGGGTCCCTCTGCTACCAACAAGCTGCCTGTCTCCAGCCTCTGAGCCCCCTTCCCCACTGACAGAATGAAGGAGGCAGATGATAATACAGAGATGATAGGAACTCTCTATGTATTTCATTTTTATGGTGTGCAGTTTCCTCTCTCCTTCTCTCCCTTTCTTCTTTCCCCCTTTTTTTTCTTAAGAGTTCATAATGTACTCTTCCTAATATCACAATTCCTCTGCGAGTTGAAGTAGAAAAGCATTTTGTCATTTTTACTGGTGAAAAAGCTAGAGTTCATAGAGGTAAATGTCACACAGTTAGGAAAAGCAGCGGAGCCTGTGACAAGTGGCAAGTGGCAAGTTTGGCTCTGCTGACTTCTGGTCCAGTGTTCTTTCTACCACCTCATAGAAAAGGAGGCAGTGTGCCAGGCCTACTTTTGTTGGCTGACAGTGTTTTTAAAGTTTAAAATTATATGTGCTTTTCATGTGCACATCCTCCACTGCTCCACGATGTGTATGACACCCACTGTATACTCATCTCCACAATCTGCCTGCCCTGGAGTTGGGATGCGGTCACAGAAACAGATGTGCATACATTATTTATTTAATTTCGTTGTTTCACTGTTTTTATAATTACACATATTTGTTCTTCTCTGTTTCATCACTTCCCAATGCTAAATTTGTTAAACAGTTATAAGTAAAAGCACTGACTTTTCTCAAATAAAACAACCTGACTTTTAGTGATGAATTATCTTTTTGGGCAAGAATTACTCTGTTATACAAGAACAGAATATGGCAGCACATCAACCTTTCATCTAACCATTTCATTCTAAATCTATTCATCCAAAATTTTACTTCTGAAATTCCACCATCGTCTGAATTTGGACATTGACAGGAACAAATAGAAGACTCTGTGAGAAGACATCCCTCACCCCATTCTCCAAAGCCACAAAGCAAAGGTATGGCTCCGTGAAGATATGCTCTGTTAGAAGTACATAAAAGGATCATTCATACCTCTGGGTTGAGACTGAATGCTTTTGCTGGTTTTCCCACACAAAGAAAATCGAAAATGATTTCTTTCATTGCAAAATCTAAACGTTCCTAGAGTAAAAACAAGAACACAAAATGGAAGTGTTAAAATAAAAACTCAACATAAAATGGCTATTTTCATCAATAAGCACCAAGCAAACAGGTGGTGGCTAAAAGTGGGGGGGCACTGCTCGGTTTTGTGGCTTGCAAGGAACCTGGAGGAAGACCATGCCCATCTGAGCCGAGGGTAGGACTGCTTCTGTTTTGTGTGGTGTGCAAGGAGGCCTTCATTACACAAAGTATGTAATTGGCCCCTAAACCACACTATGACTAATGACAAAAGACCCCCCCGACAAATCAAATAACCAAACACTTGGGGTATCTGGGCTTATAAAGACTGTGAACTCTTCCTACTTGTACTGTACCTCTTTGAAAATGCATTTTTAAAGAGATCACTGCAAAATGATCATTTTCTTTTACTCTCTAACATTACAAATCCTTTGGCTCATATTATAACAAACAATTCTGCATGTGAGACATGTAATCAACACATAAGATATATTAAGGTTACTTAATATATTGGGGTATGTGTGTATATATATAGTATAACAGGTATAATATACTAGGTATACATATAATAGTTAATATGCATAATTAATATATTCAAAAATATATCAGGAATATATATATCAGGTATATATAATTAATATAGATATAATTTATATATTTAAAAATACATCAGGTATCTGTGTGTATATATATATGTGTATATATACATATTTATTTATATATATATAAATAAAACAGGTTCATTTTATTCAACATATTCCGGAATAAACAAAGCACATTCTCAGTCACGTGATAATCACGTGCAGAAAAATTACATTAATTCTTTCACCTGCAGAGCAAGTAATGTCCTTTCCCTAAGTACAAATATTACAGAGCTACTTCACTGCACCAAACACAAAGAGAGATATTACTGTCAAATCATCTGTGAAGCAGGAATTGAATCTTACACTTTATGTCAATATCAATTGTACTTCAACAGTACTTTCATGCCTATTTTTCCTTTTAAGCACACGATATTCTGAGGCAAGCATTTTCATTCCCATTTTACAGATAAAGAAACAGAAAGAAGATGTTCTCTGACTTGTTTAAGCTTACAGAGCTGGCTCATGGCAGAGGCTGGACTGGAATAATAGTCTTTTTCTGTTCCTATGCACAAGGAGGTCAAAGTTGGGGTAAACCCATTTACTCACAAAGTGTTTTGAAAAGTAAAACTCCTGGGTTCAAATAGTAAATTACATATTAAAAACTATGTTTAATATTACTGAAACTGTTTTTAAGTCATTAATATACCTAGAGCACTTAGAACAGTTCTTGGCAAAAGAGTGCTTGATAAATGCTAATATTCCTATTAAAATCTTTTTCATAGGTTGAAATAACATTATTATTTATTCCTCACATTTTGCTAAATTGTTCTCTTTTGGTTTTCTCTGAACATCAGACCCTTTGCTTCCTCTTTACTTGCAGAATCCAGAGCAGAGAAGCAGGAAAAAAACAGAGGTGAAGAGTCAAGATAATCTTACTAATTCATAGACTTTGTGACTCAGATGAGCCACTTAAACTCTGTCTCTGTTTCTTCATTTATCAGATGCTGAAAACAATTGATGTACTCAACTCAAAACTTGTTTTGAAGCAAAAGAATAGGCTGTGTGTGAAAACACTTTAAACCTTTCTCAGAAGTCTAAACACGTAAGATATTAATTTAGACTTTCCATCTTTTAGTACTTCATAAGAAGGAGGCTGGCTGCTTAAAAACCATTACAAGATTCCCACCACCAGAATCTTCTCCATTACCTGGGCAATGAACTGGATGATTTTCACAAAGATGTTCAGAGGCATGTCCCTTGGCACCACACCACGGGACCCTTTGGGGAAAAGTGTGGTGATGATGGTTATAAGTCGGCTGAAAGATAAGGGGGAAAAGAGAAAACAAGCAAGATTGGCTGAGCTCCAGTTCTGTAAGAGAAAATGGCAGATGTTTCATCTTATCTAAGTATCAGAGAGAATTCAGAAAAAGAAAACAAACCACCTCACCCCTTTCCATTAGCATAATTACTCTATGAAAAGTTTTCTGGAAAACTAAGAGCAGATTGAAAATGATAGCGTTTTTTTTTTTTTTTTTTAAAGAGGTCTTGGTATTCATGTCTTGATAAATGTTTTAGCATCTCCCCTACCTCTGATTTTTTTTTTTTTTTTTTTTTGTTAAAGTGGCAAATGCAACTCTGGAAGTGGAACCTGTTGATCCTGGTAGAGGCTGGAGCTTTTGTAATGGGTGTTGAGCCAATGACTATGGAAAGCCTGAAAATGTTCCTTAGGATGTAGATATTTTAGAAACTGTCAGCTTTGAATAGCTTCTAGTTGAGTTAGCACAGGTAGTAATAAAAGAAGCACCCTCTGCAGTGACTGAGTGATGTGGTTACCATTGACACAAGCCAAATCCTTACCTCTGAGTAGCTGTGTTGCTTTCACATTTAATTCGAATCATGTAAACCCAAAGTAATCGGTAGAGAGATTCCAGTGCAACTCGAGCCATCTTGGGGTCTTTGTTCTATAACAGAAACCAAGATATAAGACTGCAGATATAAATAGTGAGGTCTGAGGTTCTAGAGATGGCTCTTCTCTGAAGGCCTGGAAAAGGCAAGCTCCAGGTGGATGGCTGGGTACTCACAAGGCACATTGCATCATCTGGGACTTACAGGGTATTGGCCTCTCAATGCTCATAGGATAAATCATCCATGAGGAGGCATACAAATGGTGGGACAGAGTAATTCTGGGGAAAGCCATGTCACTTTCTCATTTGCCAAGGTGAGTACTCAAGAGATTATCTTCTCCCTCCAGCCCTAGGGAACCCAAATTCTTTAGCACTAATAGGAGAATCAGTCTGTTCTTTTTATTGTTGATTATGTTCTTTTAAACCCTTATTGTTTTGATTCTCCAACGCCTCCGCCCCATCCCCATCCCATCTGATTACCCTCCAATATTTATTGAGACTAATGTGTACTAGGTACTGTGCTAGAACCTGAGATGTAGAGACAAAAGATAATCCTTTCCCTTAAGATGTTCACAGTCTTTGGGGGATGGGAATCAACTCTACAACAGTATGAAAAATTGGTAGGGACAGAAGCTAGAGGATAGGAAGAAGGGCAACACATGGCAAACTCAAGGAATGGGGTCAGGAAAGGATTCCAGGAGCATATAAAAACTCAGATGACTCATGCCTGTAATCCCAGCACTTTGGGAGGCCGAGGCAAGTGGATCACGAGATCAGGAGTTCGAGACCAGCCTGGCCAAGATGGTGAAACCTGGTCTCTAATAAAAATATAAAAATTAGCTGGGCGTGGTGGCGGGTGCCTGTAATCCCAGCTACTTGGGAGGCTGAGGCAGAGAACTGCTTGAACCCAGGAAGTAGAGGTTGCAGTGAGCCGAGATCGCGCCATTGCACTCCAGCCTGGGCGACAGAGAGACTCTGTCTCAAAACAACAACAACAACAACAACAACAAACTCAGATGAATCTTAAATCCATTTTTGTCGTACTCATTCATAATGCACACACATTTGAGTTACTACGCTGAGCTTGCCACGGTTTGTGGCCCTAGATACTTTGAAAGGTGTAAAAAAAAAAAAGTTGGGAGGGGGAGGTATGTAGGCAGAGGCAAGAGCACATGGAACCTGAGAGAAATGGAGGAGCAACGGGCTTCTGTTTTGGAGCCTGGGAATCCTTTGTATGCTGGTGAAGGGCCACTGCAAGGCCAAGTGAAGGAGCAGTAGCTGGTGAGGCTTGAGAGGAAAGCAGGGGTCACATGAGGCACCTTTCACGAGGAGAACAAGCTCATGATGGTGACAGGCAGCCAATGAGATCAGAGAGACCACAGAGGAAGTCCAATGTCTGCAGCATGGGGAATGGAGCAGAGGCAGGGAGACCAGTTGTGGGCACCCAGGCATTAACAAATCGGTCAGAGAGGAGAGTGTGGGTTTCATCATCTTGTGGACACTTCATTCCTCCATTCCTTACTTCTGACTCTCACTACATTCTTTCAAACAATTTTATAGATTTTATCCACAAAATTTCTCTTGAATTGGACCTCTTATCCATTCTCACTTCCTTTGCTATAGCTCAGGCTCCCAGCACTGTCATCTGGACTGCTGCAGTACCCTCCTAACAGTCTCCCTAAGTCAATCCCTGCCTTGCTGTCTATCTTATACCAATTATAATCCTTTCTATACAGAAATCACAGAATCAGTGGTTTCCCTGGTGCCTGTGGGATCAAGTTAACATTTGCTGGCCTGGCATACCAGTCAATAGCTGGCTCTAACCTATCTCTTCTGCCTCCCATCCTGTTACTCTCCCGCAAGCTATGTAAACCCTAGCTAGGCCATGTTCATTCTATTTCCATGATAGAAATGCCCTTCCACCCCCATTCCTGAATCTTTCTTTTCTCCCAAGTGAACCCTGTCCATTCTTTATAGTGGGCTTGGATGTCCTCTCCTTTGTGAAGCCTTCTCTGTTCCTCCCTGATGTCTTAAATCCCAGCCCATTAAAACTAATTATTTCCTCCTGAGTGTCCCCTGACTCACATACATACCTCTAGCATAGCCCTTCAACTCCTTACCTATGGTGGGGGGGATCTTGTTTAAACATCAGCTCCCACATAAATAATAGATTCTCTGAAAAAAGGGGGCATTATTTACCCCAAGATCTATTAAAATTTCTGCTTTTCTGCATGGGGTCAATGAATGTTTGCTAACCAGTCTTTCAGTATCTTAACTTTCTGATAGGTCTTTTGCCTTTATGTTACTTGTCTATCTCCATTTATTTAGTCATATGATTCTCTTTTCTTAGTGTAGATAATTTAGGTACTGATTTTTATAGAATTCATAATTGTTTAGAAATGATCTGGGATAAAGTTTATCTTTAAACTGTTACTGAATAAAGATGATCCACATAAATAAATTCTACAGGAAAGGCTATAGTGAGAAATTTTTAGATTTAGGAAAGATAGACTTCACAGTCTTTGTAGTCTAACAACTTTTTAGGGTGGTCATTATTCTAAAAGTCTAAATTTCCATATACATTTAGGTCTGTTCTACATTTCTTTTTGTTCTACTAGTCTTGTGTATTCAAGTATTAATACCACATCATTTTAATTATTCAGGTTTTATAATGTGTTAATATCTAGTATGGCCTACTTTATATAGTCCATTGCTTTTTTTTTTTTTAATTTTTAGCGGTTTCCAAGATTTTCTTGCATGTTTATTCTTCTAGATGAACTTTATAGCTATTTGTTTAGCTTGATGGAGGAAAAAAAAACCCTGGCTTTTTAGAAGCACACATTTATGTAGAAGGTTTTTTTTTTTTGCCTGTTAAAATAACACGTAAAATTCGTCAAATGTTTTAGTTACTTAAAGGGGATTTGAAACTAGTAAAGTTGCATTTAAAATATTCGATTATTTAAAAATTTCAAAACTTCTGACTACTCGTCTTCCAATTGGTCCAAATCAGCAGATGCCTATGGTATACTTACACGGTGGTTAAAAGTAGACTCCACACACAGACTGCCTGGGTTTGAATCCATTCTTGCCTTATAATTTATTAGCTGTGTGACCTAGCGAAAGCATTTTAATCTCTCTGGGTCTGATTTTCCCTGTCTGTGAAATGCAGATGATAATCCTACCTCCATCACAGGAATGTATGACAGTTAAATGAGTTAATACACATAGGGTACTTAACGCTGTATCTGCCTGTAGTATTATTACGTAGAAGACACCTGCAATCCAGCAGCAAACAAGGGCAATGTAGCCCCTGCCTTTAGGGAGCTTCTCTTCTAGTAGAAACATCTTTTCCTTTGCAAATTTCCTTTTTTAAAATATATGTAACAGTTTATATTTGCATAGCGTATCATTTGAAATTCTTTCATATACATTATCTCTCATTGTGAATCACGATGAGGAAAGCACGTATCATCTCAATTTCACTGTAGACCATAACTGAAATCTCTAGTTTAACTGATTGACATTAGTGTCTTCTGTTTCAACTTCAACTTCTTTAAAATATTTGTCCTGTCCCTCCTGTCTACCATTTTTCTTGCATCTTATTGTGACCAATAGTCTTTCACTCTTAAGAACATTTTTGAGATTATTTTTCCTTCCACAGGCACTGAAAAGCAAAGTGGCAAACGTAGGTTTTAGTCTGTCTGTGGATTATGTACTGCTAATTGGTTTTTAGCATTTCAAGATGATATTAGGTCATTGCAACCGCCTCCTAAATGGATTTTCTGGCCTCTCTTCCATTCTTGCACAAATGATATTCTTAAAAATACAAACATGTTTTTTTACTTTCCTGCATTTAAAGTCTTGCATTTAAAGACTTAAGTGGCTTCTAGTCACCTACTGGACAATGTCCAAATTTCATAATATGGCACATGAGGGGCCTTTTGTGACCTGGCTCCCTTGTACCACTTCCTGCCTCTGCCTTGTGGTAGGTGAACCTTGCACTGCAACATCCCTTTTGCAATTCCCTGCATGCCTGGAATGCCTTCCTACCCTTGTCTACTTGGAGAACTCAAATTCGATTAGGTGACACCTCCTCTTATTATATTCCCCTGCCCCTCTACTCCTGTCCCAATCCTCTGGAAGGCTACCAAGTGCCCCTGCTCTCTGTTTTCCAGGAAACAGACATCCTTTACTTGAATGTTTCTTACCAGACAGTGAGCTCCAGGCATTCTGATTTGTTCATTTTTGTGTCCTCGGTGACTACCATACAGCAGGTTATATATTAAAAACAAAACCAGAAAGTATTCAAAAACAAAAACAATCTGAGTAGTAGCTGAACAACTTGATGCATAAATTTGTAGATTAATTTGTACAGGACCTACACGAAAGACAAACTTTGCCATGTAGGTGAAGCTAATTTTCATATTATAATGACAGTAATAAATACCTTGCACTTGTATGGAATTTTGGTATTTCAGAGGTGCTTTCACGTAACAAGATATCAATTGAAGGATTTTATAAATGAGAGAAGGCCCCCCAATAAATTGCTCAAAGTAAATGACAGTAAACCAGGTTAGTAAACGACAGCCGGGATAGGAATTGACTTATGCTCCAATAAGTACTGTTTTCTCAGAAATTGAAATGTATGTATTAAATGGTGCTTGCTATAGCAGGTATTTTATTTTAATCAATGCTGCACTTATATTAACTCATTTTAATTTTCACAACAATGTATGGCGTAGATTCTAGGCACAGAGAGGTCAAATAACTTACCCAAGGTCACACAGCTGATAAATGACAGTGCTAGAATCTGCACCTAGGCAATCTGGCCTCAGTGGCTTTAAAAGCTTTAAATTTTCCACTTCAACTTAATATTATGTGGAGGCTGCACACACATGCTATTGGTACCTACTCTACTTGAAGACAGCACTTCTTCTTCATCTGTCTTTGTATTTCCTTAGCAGCTAACAGAATAGGTGCTTGATGTATATTTTCAGGATGCAGACATTTCAGCATATGTCTCAAACCACTGATTTCTGTGTCAAAGATACTTGCTTCAAGATCAAAAAACCATTCTTCTGTTGGCATCTGCATCTCCCTTAATTAATTAACCAATAATTAATTAATGGTATGCATTTATTATGGCTCTGAGGTTCACCGATACAATTGTTTAAGAAACAAGAAACTAGCTTCAGAGTAGATCTTCCCTGGACCTGCTGCATCTCACCTCACTGCCAGTCACTGACTTCATGGGATGTGTCAGCCTATCTAATAACATGCCTACTTCCTTTAAATTTTGCTTTTAATTAATTTAGTTAAAACAATTCAGAGTTAATGGTAACAAATGAGGACAAGTGAATTCACTGATAATTTGGCTGGTGATGCAATCAGTGGTATAGACCAATGTTACTCAAGGTCCATCAGGCTGATTATTTGCACCAAGTCACCTGTGCTGCTTATAAATATGCAGATTCCTGGGCTGCACCTTAGATATTCTGAACCAGAACCTCGGAAAGTGGGCTTCAAGAAAGTGCATTTATAACAGGCTTCTGTAGGGATTCTTATGTATGTTAAGGTAAAGACCTAGTGAGATAGATAATTTTACTCATCTACTAATTTTGTTACACTTAAAATACCTTCTAGTTTTCTCTTCCATTTCAAAGAGAAAGCCATCTAAGTAAATCTATGTCTTTGTTATATTTCTTTGCATATCACAGCCAATACTTTCCATCTTTTTGACATTTCTGATACTTGAATCAATTTACTTTGATTATGCTTCACCGGGTTTGATGACTGTATATTATCCAAATAACCTATTGCTACAGTTTAGGATAATCTCTAAAATTATCATAACAACATTTTTACGGCAATTATTTTTCTATTGAATGGTTGGATAAATAAGGCATTTATGGAAAATAACGTGCTTGTCATCTTATTACTAATTTTTTAGGTCCAGTTTATGTGCATTATTGGAATCTTTGAAATGTGTCTCTATTTTGGTAGATCTGAAACAGATTTTCTCAAGATTATACAAATGAGATTAACAGTAAAGCAGAATAACTATATCTTGAAAATTAATAATTAAAATAGCTAATCCTACACCATTTAAATTTGGTATTTAAAAGAGAAAAGTAGTCATTTTAAAATAAATGCCATATATTTTAATTAATTCAGGCAATGATTGTGGAATCTTTAATATATTACTCAATGTCTCCACTTACAAGATAACATTAATAATTGGTCTGTCTCCTCCACTAAATTACAAGGTCTAAGAGACCAGGGAGTGCTACTGTCTTACTCATCACTTACTCCCAGTACCTAGAACTGTGCCTGGTCGACTACTTGTAAAGAATTGTTGGTAACTGACTGAATGGATTTAAGTCCTAGCATAAGTGCTGCCTGAGAAAAAAGGAGTATTCTTTCTCATTCTGTACTTTGGTTTCTCCAACTTTGACACTAAACTGAATCACGTCTAACCTCAGTATTGCTATCTGAGCAAAATATTTAGAAACGCATAAACAACATTCATGAAAGCATAGGGAATATTCAGTGTAGCCTGTGGCGTTGCCATGATACCCACAACAATGTATATGAAGCCCCTGCCACTCGTCTGCTCATAATGTATCTCCAGTGAATGAGGGCTATTGTTATTATTATGGATCATATAATTAATTCATTTCTTAACCTCTGAGGTTTCTTTTCTGTCTTTTTCAAATTATAATTTGGGTCTCATTGGTATATTACATTCATTTTTATAAAATATAAGAAATTTTGAAATTCTCCCAATTCATTTTATTTTGAAGGATAAGAAACTAGCACATAGCTATTATGAACATGATAATTTCATTTTATTTAATTTTTAAATTTTTAATTTTTTTCTCATTTGTAAATGGTGACTCAACATTTTAAAAGTACTATTAAATCAAGTTCACAAAGCATATTTCCTTTTGTCAGAATTAGGTGGTGTATGGTAGATGTGAAGGGAATGCATTTTTTTTGTAGCACAATATGTTCAGATTCTGACATAAAATACATGGAAGAAAAAAGTATTGGTCACTACGGACCAAGAGTTCCTGAAAGATGTGAATGTCTTAGTGAAAAGGTGCTATACGTTTCTCATCAGTTTATAATGGAATATTACTAATAGATGCTTAAGTTAATTAAGTGGAAATATTAAAGATTTCAAGTCTGTTCTCCCAAAGCAACCTGCTTCTGACCAACTAACGCTGGGAATAAACCAGGGCATCGACATTAAGTGAGTGTTGACCCTGAGAGCTTGTTTACAATGAAAGCGGACAGGTTTTCATGCTCACGCACACTTCTGCTCTGCTCTGCCATGCTGCCCTGATGGCTCACCTCTACAGAATACATCGAAGGTGACTACCAAGGTCAGCGTGTGGGATTCAGATGCGAGGTTCACTACCCTAAAGCATCTGTGGCTGGGGAGGGGTAAGGAAGGCAGGGAAGGGTGCAGGAAAGTGCATGGGGGAAGGGTTGATTTGGTGGTCACTTAGGAAATGGCAGAATTGGTTCTAAATCCCATAAAATACTGTAGCAATTCAAGACAAAGAATATCTCTGAAGCTGTGTTAGTTTTTCTCAGGTATTTCTTCCTTACTAAGGACTTAAGAGGAGGTTTAGAAGGTTTTCTGAATATTAATAACATTTTTTACATGGTCCCATTCAAATCCCTACTAGGTTTAGTTCTAAATATATGCGATACAATTTTATTTCATTTTTATCTTACCAAGGATCTTTTTATATCTTTTAGCCTTGAGGTAGTGAATTCAAATAGATTATTACCCATAAAATATCACTGCCTTTCTGCCTTACTTTGCCTAATCACTTCTTTCGTGATTCGTGGGGTATATGACCTCCACAACTCTCACAGGTATCTCTCTAGTCCTACCTTTTACATCCTTCACTGTCTGCATCACGCATTTTGAAACTTCATTACATATCCTCCAATGAAATTCTAAGCTTGTCAAGGACAGGGACTCTATTCTAATCTAGTTTTTACAGAATTGCTTTCTCCCTCCTTCCCACTTTCAGCACTTTCCCTAGCACCTCACACAGTGGACACTACATAAGTCCCTGCTGGACTGAATTCTGGAATGTGGTTCAGTCTCTACAGCATTCACTCTACATGCTCTTTCTGGCCTAACTGCCTCTTAGAAATCTGAGTGCTTGAAATGTTTGCACAGAGAAATACTGTCAGTCCCCAGGCCTGCTCCTCTCTGGGGCTGTATATAACCCTTGTATTAAATCTTTCTGGTGGGGTTTGACTACAGCTGTAAGCAACATTCTAACTTTGAAGTAATTAAGTTCCAAAGTAAGTTCCAAACATGCTCTGCTATGTTTCAAAAACAAGTTCAGACAAAAAATTGGGGTCTCTGTGGCCACAGCAATAGATTGTCATGAAAAATATTATTGTAATTCCAAGCAAAAACCCAGACACATTAAACACAGAATATACAGAAAACTGCACTATAAGCACTCTCAATAATTCCCCTCTCTGTTTTCAATAAAGTGACCATTTCCCATCTGTGGAAAATGTAATAGAAAAAAATATTTAATGAACTAACAGCTGGATAACTTAAAAGTAGACCAATTAACAAATGACACGTTAAGAGTTATATGACAGATCCTCAAAACAAAAAACAAACAAAAGCAACAAACAACAACAACAACAAAACCTGAAAGTGGCCTTTATATAACACTTGATAACCCTGAAAAGCATTTCATTTTTTCAGAGTACTTAAAAGCTTAACTCGCTATCCACTGCTATTATATTTCACTGCCAATTTGAAGAAAATGAATGATTCTAATCTTGGATTTCACAATCAGCTTTCAGAGTCAGCTCATAGTTGGTGCTTAAAACAGCTCTAATGCAGATTATTGTGTAATTATGGTAAATGCCAAAATAATATAATTAATCTTAACTACTTCACCAAATTAAAGCATCATAGAAAAAAATAAGGCAACGTGTATAAGCACATACAAAATTTTATAACTAAGTATATTCTTAAAATTCAAAAGCAGCTAATATCAAACTGGTAAAAGAAATTTAATCACATCTTTGGACACAACCAAGGACAACTGTCAAAAATACATCCTATTTGCACTTATATTAGGGATAGTTTTCATTTCACTGTCTTTTATCAATAGGTTACTAAAACTTAAAGCATATTCACCACTTTTAAGTTATAAAGTCCATTTTAAAGCTAATCATTACAGCTGTTTGAGCCACAGGCACCATGACTTGATTCCTCACGTCACCCAGCACCTGTGCTGCAGGTGTATTGCTGGAAACAGTGAATGCTTAGGACTGACTGCCATGCGGCTTGAACAGGATACCTTCAAGAATTACAAACGACAGTGACAAGGAAGAAGTACTCTCTGTGGCTAGGTCAGTCCTTCCACAGACTGGAGCTTTTGCCCCAGAGACATTCTCCTAGACTGGAGGGGATAGAGGAAGGATGGAAAAGGCATAAGTGAGCTTCTGAGATCAAGGCGCATGCTTCTATTAGCTGAATGTGGCCCTTATGCTATTTTTAAATCATTTAGATAAAATGTGACAATGGATGCATATAAAGGAACATTTAATTCTACTTTTAAAGTGATCCTTGCTAGAACAGATTTATTTTTCCCAAATCTGAAGTGATTTATCTTATTCCTAGTCACTTTCTAAAATTGACTGTATTTAGTAAGAACTGTTATTAATATTTTTTTCATTATTCCACCAGTATAGGACAATTCCCCTGGCAAACATCAGGAGTCACTTCCAGAAGCACATCGACCAGCCTAAAAACTATGTAAATGTTTTAGAAAGATCGTTTTTGAGCTGACAAATACTAACTTTAAGGTTGGACAAGCAGTTGTTGAGGAAAATGTGCCACCTGTTCAGGAACAGCTGCTTCTGACTGACACAGAGCAAACAGGTCACCAGAGGGTACAAGGCCTGAGGAGAAAAGAGAGGAGGTCACAGGATAATTTATATTTCAACAAACCAGGTAACATACATTCTCTGTACCCACTACCTTGCCATCTCCCTCTGGGGCTCTGTGTACAAGAAACAGGATGCTGCATAGCACAGCCGTGCCCAGTGGATGCAGGGCACTGGTGTGCATTTCACAGACACTTTCTGATAATGCTGGAGATGGAATAACCAAGAATTATGGATAGCATATAATAAAATGAAATAAGTTTCATATACAATAATGCAGAAATCTGATTCAATGATTTAGACTTTGCTTAAAACCTTTAAAAACAAACTTACCATCTTAGATCACTCTCTTATCTCCAGAAAAAAAAGCAGGAAGGCACACACATTTTGAAAATGTTATTGGCTCTTTTTCTCATAGACATCTAATAGTTTGTCCCTATCTTAGAGGTAGTTGTCTATATTTTCTTTTGCATGCAACCTTCTGGTAATTAAGGAAGATTCCTAAAAGAAATGTTATTGCACTGGTAAACTCTACCAAGACAAATTTAACCACAGGAGGAATTTGCTCATGACCGAATAAACAGAGGTGCTACTGTGCTTTTCCTGCCGAACTGGGCCAGCTTCCCACAGCAACTGGAGAAGACAGCAAAGGTAATGAGCAGCTACCCAAAAAATCATATATGCAGAATCCATCACTATTTTGCTAATCCAGATGTGATAGACCTTTATGATTCCCCCTAAATCAAGGATCGTGAAATAAAAATGTAACTGGCTCATCTGTTAACTTGAATTAACAAGAAACAACTGCCCACAAATCGCTTAACAGGTCCATTAAGTTTTTTTTGTTTTTTTTTTTTTTAATAACTTAGTTTTAAAGGGACCTGGAAACACTGCTACCATTGAGTGACAGCTCTAATGCTAGTTAGTAATCTAAAAAATATCATGCACTTAGTCACAATGACCACAGAACATAGACAAATGAGCAAATTTGTCACCACTATCAGCAAAGCAACCCTAAGTACCCGCTCAAATCATGGTAGGGATGTTCATCCTCTGGAGACGAGCATAAACCATGCCAGTAACCAGATCCCTAAGCAACTTGCTTCCTCCCAACTTTCACATTACAGCTTTTACACCACTTGCCAATTCATAAACCAAAGCTTTATTCACCACAGCGGGTAAAAGGTGGTGGTAACCTAAAGGACTTTTCTATACTGCTCTTCAGTACCAAAACCTTCCCAAGAATTATTTTCTCAGCCTTCAGAGAATCCTTCCTATGGGCAACTGTATTTCCCAACTCCTTTTCCTGCCTGTTTCCATTTTGATCCTAGTATCCAGATAGGAATTAGCCAGGGCAGGTTCCTGGGGATTGAGAAAAAAACTGTTATTATAAACTTTAGCTTTCAGATTGGAAAAAGGTTCTCAGAAATTAAAATAAAAATCAAGTTAGGCCAAATCTTGAAAGTGAACAACAGACTCCTTAGGACTCGAGGGTCATCTGAGGTGACACAGTCTAATCCGCCTACATGAACGTCAATCAATCATGGCCAATACAAAAAGCCAGCTTCAGTTTCAAATGCTGCCTCTTTTTGAGGGAGCTTCAGGTACTTTTCACATCTATGGAGTCCTTATGATCCTCAAATAGATTCCTGACTAGGAATTTTAGTCTGTGCAGTTTTGTTTGTGTTTTCGATTTTCTCATCGTTACTAACCAAGGAATGTTTCTTTCGAGAAGAAAGTTCCAGCGTGGTGTCATACAGGCTTTCCACAAAATTTCTAAGGCAGGGGACATTTACTTCATTTTTAACAGCCTGAAATAGAGATGCATGTGAATATTATATTAATAAAATTGTTAATTTTGTGATACAATTTGAAGAGTTTTGAGAAATGAAAATGTAACTCACAGCAGCGACTGGAACAAGGATTTCAACAAAAAGTCCAGCCAAGGCATGCTTGATATCTTTGTCTTTAACCTCGAGGAAGTAATGTGCACATTCCTGGGAAGCAGAAAAAGGGTATAGGGAGGGAGAGTAGGTTGAAATGTGCACATAGAATGTATTTAAACAAGTTTCAGTAAGTAGCTCTTAATTCAAGCATGCATCAACAGAGCATATTCCATAGTCTATTAAAAATCACTGGATTCAAACATTTGTGTTGAAATCTATATGTCTGCAGTGGCCTCAGTGACATTCTGCAAGGCTGGTTTTTTCACTCTTCTATATCAAATCATTATTCTAAAAGGACAAAGCATCTCTAACCAGCAAGCACACATGTATCCACCGAGTCACTGGTTGATTCATTCATTCATTCACTTCCAATACATTTCTACTTATTACTTAGTGTGTGGGGGGCCTTGGGCTCCTGGTTAGCCCTCAAACACAGATCCCCAGGGAAGGTAAACATGAGAAGAGAGGCAGAAGACATCAAACTTATTTTAGGCCCTATGCCTGACAGCCTCAGACACAGAGCTGTTTACTTGTTCGCTCTGACATTTTAGGTGTGTTTATCATTCACATAAGTTTCATAAGCAAGTCAAGAACGTTTCCCTTTCCCACCTTGACAAGGAAACCTTTAGAAGGGTTCCTTAAGAAAGGACACTACTGCCTGTGGACTATTGTCATAGCTAAGGGTGTTCTGGGTTGCTCAAGGACTCATTCTGTAGGAAAGTTGGCCTGTCAACATTTTTTTTTTTTAATAAAATGTCAACTTTTTTTAAAAGGAAAGTTGGCAGAATTCTGCCCATCTCTCTCTCCTTCCTGGCCTTATTGGTAGTAACTTATTGTGGTCTATATCAGGTATTGTTTTCATTCAAGAGTCCAGACAGCCAGACACTACGGCTCATGCCTGTAATCTTGACACTTTGGGAGGCCAAGGCAGGCAGATTGCTTGGGCCCAGAATTCCAGACCAGCCTGGGTGACATGGCCAAACCCCGTCTCTACAGAAAAATACAAAAATTATCTGGGTGTGATGGCGGCACCTGTAGTCCCAGCTACTCAGAAGGCTGAGGTGGGAGGATCACTTGTGCCTGGGAGGGGGAGGTTGCAGTGAATCCAGATCATGCCACTGCACTCCAGCCTGGGTGACAGAGTGAGAGACCCTGTCTCAAATTTAAAAAAAAAAAAAAAGAAAGAAAAGAAAGAGTACAAGGCTACATGTAATAACATGTTAATATCGACACTGGCTATTTCCCTTTATTTTCTGTTGCCATTGGGAAGATTGCCAAAAACAATCCCCAAAGTCCTCATTCTATCAATATCATATTAAGACCTCAGCTCAGGAAAGGCAACACCAGTATGGGAAGTCACTGAAACAGCTTTCCTGTACAGACGAGCTCTATAGTTTCCAGAATAGTCATCCTTTTGCAACATTATTTTGCATAAGTATGTAATACTTTCTCAAGTCTTAATTTGTGTATATAGATACAGGAATTATTCATATGAGAGTAGAATAAAAATAATAAAATATTTAACAGTTACTGAGTGTTTGTCATGTGCTAAGAATCCTCAGAACCACTCTCTAAGGTTAGTGTCATTATCATCACCTTGCAGATAAGGCAAGTGAGGATGGGAGGGGTTGAGTGTGACTGGTCAGGTCACAAAGCTGGTAAATGCTAGAGTTTGAATTCAAACCCAAGAAGTTTGATTCATAGCCTCCCCCCATATATAATAATTTTATTGTGACATAATTTATGTAGTATGCAATTCACCCATTTAACATATACAATTCATTGGCTTTTAGTATAATCACAGCTGTGCATCCATCACCACTGTCAAATTTAGAACCTTTTAATGACACCCAAAGGAAACTCTGTACCCCTCAGCAGCCATCTGCAACCTCCCTATCCACTCTCCATCCCCAGCCCTAGACAACTGTTAATCTACTTTCTGTCTCTACAGATTTGCCTACTCTGGACATTCCATATAAGCAGAATAATATAATACATGGCCTTTTGTGTCTGGTTTCATTCACTTAGCATAACATTTTCAAGGTTCAACCATGTTGTGGCATGTATCAGCTTCACTACTTTTTTTGGTCAAATAATATTCCATTATAGGGATATACCACATTTTGTCTATCCATTCATCATTTTATAGACATTTGGGTTATTTCCACTTTTTGGCAACTATTAATAATGCTGCAATGAACATTTGTGTTCAAGTTTTCGTGTGGACATATATTTTCATTTCTCTTGTGCATATACCTAGGAGTGGAACTGCTGGGTCATATGGTAATTGTAGGTTTTGCTATTTGAGGAACTGCCAGGGCCAGGCTGTTTTCCAAAGTGGCTGTACCATTTTGTACTCATACCAGCAGTGTGTGAGGTTCAAATTTTTCCACATCTTCACCGAGAATTGTTATATTTTTGATTATAGCCGTCCTTGTGGGTGTAAAATGGTACAGCCTATATTCATAATCCATACATCTAAACCCTCTAGTAAGGTCATCACCAAATTTAATTTACAGCAGCATTTTAAAAATTCCTTCAAATGCCAAAGTTTTGTAAACTCTAAGAGCTGAGTATTCTGTTAAATTCTCCTTAGCAGCAGTTCTTTTGTTATGTACCATGATGGGCACTGGGCAATAAATATCAAACCTGTATTGTTTAGTTGAGTTTTTAAAAATTAAGATTCCTTTTTATAGTAAGAATAAAAGATTTCTTTATTATTTAAAGTCCTCATGCCTGTGAAAGTCAATGCAGCCAACCCAATGCTATCAATTTTAAAAAGTGAAAAAAATCAGCTATATTTTATTCATAGAACAATATGTACCAGTGGGTGAAAGAGAAAAAAAGTCGGCAAACAAGCAATCCCACTGTATACTCTCCTCCAAAGAAGATATGAAAGTTGAGAAATGAAAGTATGTGCCTGCAACTGTGCTATTTGGTTACAAAGGACTTCATGAATTATTTAGACAGTAGAATGTTTCTCCGTATTGACAAGTAATTGGGTTTTCATGTTCCAGGTTCATCATCTTGAGGAAGGGAAGTGCTCAGCTTAAGAGCCCCTTAGCTCTCCTGCCTAAGACATTACCTGCATAAACTGAAGAGAGGCCTCAAAATCCTCCACTGGATACATCTTAATTCGAAAGAATTTCATCCCCATTATTAAGCTGATAATGCTTTGAACCACATATGGGCTCTGCTCTTTGTGCCGTAATTCTTTTAGCTCCGCCATAAATTTCTTCTTTACAGCAGGGAATCTAAGAAGACAACATAAGCGGTTTATCAAATCATGGGTAGGAAAGTCCCTGTAATGGGGGCCTCCAGCATCTGGGAGTGATTGAGCAGAGCAACGGAATCCTTCAAATCAGTTGAAGTACAACAGCCATGATTTTGTGAGGATCTGATGTTTGGGATTTAGCAAAGGATCCATTTTTTCTTCTCCTTGATGCTCAACATCTCCATCAGGCGAGGGGGCAGATCCCGGGTTATTTAGACCCTCTCAAAATGGTCTAGCTCTTGAATTGAGCATCACAAAGAGACCCATTTCCTCAGGCTTGGCCATTTTCAACATAGTTGCAGACCCCAGAGCCTGAAGTATCAAATAGTAAGTCTATGAGCAATAACGTACTAGGTTAGTGATTTCTGACAGTGACAGCAAATGATTTAAGGATTTGTATTCCAAACAATGCCAAGTATTCCTGTATCTATTTCTAAAGTTTTCTGTTATTATTTCCTTTATAGTTTTAGGATAATGATTATCTAAAAATATATATTTAGGGTTAAAAAATCTAGTAATGGGAAAATTTAAATTATATCTAAAAGGTAAAGATGAATGGGCTGTCTATTATATTCATGGAATTTTACAATTATATCTGGTAAATGTAAAACAAACAAAAAGACACAGTCCAGTCCCTATCCTCAAAGTATTTGTATTCGAAAGTAAAATAATACTAATTATAACAACAATATTATCATCCAGGTTTGAAAAAAGAACAGATCTTAAAGCTAAGAGGAATCAGAGGCAAATCTTCAAAGGTACCTAAGAGTACAGAAATGTACACATAAAAATTGTCCAAACCACTAAGTCTGAGACAGCTGGTTTGGCTATTCACCAAACACACACAGACACACACACACACACACACACACACACACAGTCTAAGATTTATTGTATTTTGTTTTCTGAGACTATTAGGCTGAGGTTCCTTGAAAAATTAGAAGCAAGCCATGATTAAAAAGGGTAATTGTGGCTGGGCGTGGTGGCTCAAGCCTGTAATCCCAGCACCTTGGGAGGCCGAAGTGGGTGGATTACCTGAGGTCAGGAGTTTGAGACCAGCCTGACCAACATGGTGAAACCCTGTCTCTACCAAAAACACAAAAATTAGCTGGGCGTGGTGGTGTGCACGAGGCTGAGGCTGGAAAATCGCTTGAACCTGGGAGGCAGAGCTTGCAGTGGGGAGCTACACATACCCCCCCCACATTGCCCGCACTTGGCACTCCAGGCCTCGGTGACAGACGCATAGACTCTGTCTCAAAAGCCACACCAGCACAGGCACAAAACAGGGGCTCGGGCGGGTGGTAATGTGTGATTACCTCAGAAATGAAAAGTGAAGCTAATAGAGTCGGAAGTTTGGAATAATTCTTGAGACCTTAAAGTAGAAATTTCAGGACAAACAAAGTAGGCAGTAAACACATAGACATTGTTTAACCAAAGGCAGTACAGAGGCTGGTGGTTGGCAAGTGGGGTGTGAGGGGATTCTCAAGTGCTGGCAGTTTTCTAGTTCTTGGCTTAGGTGGAGAGGTAACATGGTGTCCATTTTATAATAAATTTGTTTAACTGCCTTATGGATTTTTGCCTATGTTTGCTACATGTATTTCTTAATAAAAAAGATTTTTAAAAGGCAATAGAACAGAAAACATAAATAGCTTCAAGAAGATTTAGACAATTTATGAATGAGATACTCACTAATGGGTTGTTAGCATCGCTAAGAATATTTCAGGGTATATTCCTAATCTTCGGTGGCATTTTGTGGACTTCTACAAAATATCCAATTTCAAGACAGCATCCCAAACTGGCCCCTTCTGACATTTAAATAATACTATTAGAATATGGTAGAAAATATTAGTTATGTTTTCTCTATAAGTAAAATTTCATGGAGATTAACTGCAAAATGGTATATTAATTTTTCAGATTAGGAAATTAGCAAAAATTAAAATAGAAACTTTATTAAATTTACAAAAATCTATTTGGCATCAGCACGTTCTATGGTCCTACCGCAGACCTACTGTTAGGGCTGAATTGTGTGCCCCTCAAATTCATACGTTGAAGTCTGAACCTTCTGAGATTGGAATGTGACTGTATTTGGGCATAGGGCCTATAAAAAGGTATTTAACTTAAAACAAAGTTATTATCATAAAATGGACACCATGTAACCTCTCCAGCTAAGTTATTAAATTAAAATGAAGTTATATCTCTGTGTGTGTCTCTGTACTTGTCTCCCCTTCTTACAAGGACATCAGCATGACTAGGAGATGAGTATAGAGACACACACACAGAGAAGACCACACAGGGAGAAAATGGCCACATACAAGCCAAGGAGAGAGGTCTCAGAAGGAATCAACCCTGCTAACACCTTGAGCTTGGACTTCAACTCCAGAACTGTGGGAAATAAATTTCGGTTGTTTAAGCCAATTAGTCTGCAGTACTTTGTTATGGCAGCTTAAGCAGAATAACATACCTATTCAATCAGTAATTCTGGGGATGAAGTCCAATAATTTGTGTTTAATAAGCTTTACAGGTGTTTCTGATGTGAAAAAGTTTGAGAAACACTGGTATAGACTAAGAATAACAATAACAAGATATATCTGTAAGTGGTTTTACATTTTAAATGATTACACCATTTCACATTTTGATCCTTAACAATCCAGTGAATTAGGCAGTGAATGCATTTCCAATTAATAAATAAAGAAACAAATTGGCAGACCACAGTGGCAAAGAAGAGACTCAAACCCAGGGCTTCTGATACAAATTCCAGGAATTTCCATTAAACCACAGCTGTCTTAGACAGTGGTAACTGTGACATGTAGTCTCTGCCCTCTCTAGAATAGTTTATAGTTTAGTTAGGAAGATAAAATAAGGTAGCACTGACCATGAGCCATGTGAATCGCATACCAGGGGCCTACTATGTGTTAGCACCTGCTGGACACTGTCCAGACCTTTCTGATCTGCAGGGAGGTCAGATGCACCAGGTTCCATCACTTTCTCATATTTCACACTGACTATTTGGTGAACAATACACTTAAAGAGGCTTTAGGGCATCAGAGAATGAAGGGGCTCTTCTCAGCTGCGTAATTAATTAGAGAGGATTTCAGAGGAGATTTGAGTTGCGGTAAAGGTGAGCAGAGGATATTCGGTAGAGATGGATAAAAGGTAGGAAGCGGAAATGACCATGGTCAAGCAATGGAAGTGATACTTTCAATCAAGATTATAAAAATGCAGTAACTCCAAACTGAATTTTAAAAAATTGTATTTCTGTTCAAATTATTTCCAGATACCAAAATAACTATGGTTTTTGTTTTGAAATGTATGAGTTTAGAGAGAAAAATATTAGAGTTATATAGTTTTAAAGATGACATGATACTAAGGAAAGTTTGTTTTCCAGTTTGAATCCATGACTAAAACAAGGAAAGACAGAAAAAGGCAAGTTATTTGCATAATTCACTATTTCAATATTCTCATGAGTTAGTGGCTAAAAGTTTATTTATTTGTCATTTAAAAATAAATATGGCTATCTTTTCCTTTTTTTTTTTTTTGAGATAGAGTCTTGCTCTGTCGCCCAGGCTGGAGTGCAGTGGCACAATCTTGGCTCACTACAACCTCCGCCTCCCGGGTTCCAGTGATTCTCCTGTCTCAGCCTCCCGAGTAGCTGGGACTACAGGCGCGTGCCACCACGCCCAGCTAATATTTTTTGGATTTGTAGTAGAGGCGGGGTTTCACGGTGTTAGCCAGGATGGTCTCGATTTCCTCGTGATCTGCCCGCCTCGGCCTCCCAAAGTGCTGGAATAACAGGTGTGAGCCACCACGCCAGCCTATCTTTTACTTTTAAAAGTCCCAAATGACATAAACATGTTATTTAGCACAAAAGCAATCCAAAAATCTCTTTGTATTTAAAATCTATTTTCTCTTAAAATGACTTTAAGAAAAAAATATTTCAGTGATCTTTCCTTTAGTATTGCCTATTTAGTATTGTATTTAGTAAATACTGTAACTCAATGATTACTCAGTCTTTGGTATACTATAAAATTCACATAAATATAAAATTCTGCTTTAAAATGTATAGCACATATTACAAAAATGAGTAAATGAACATGTAAAGATGATATCACATAAAGAGAAAGCATTTAGTAACATCTATGATTCTTAGATGAAGTATTATTACTATTTAAATGAATCCACCAGATTTTGGTGAAAGTACTTAAATTTGTTTTAACTGACTTTGAAAAAGTCAATATTATGTGTGAATAACACTTATTATCAAAATTTTTTCCCTAAATGACAAGAACTAAACAGCATCATCACTAGTAAGACTAAAAATAGTGATTCTGCTAAAACTGAAATTCCAAAGTAAGTACTAATAGCTAAAGTCATAATCAGGAAAATATTTAATAAGCATTATCATTGGGAACAAGACATATAACCTAAAATTAGAATTATTACATTACTCAACTTTTTTTTTTAAAGATAATCACACTGTACTAGATAAGCATACATTCTTTTTCCCACTCTGAGAATGAAGGAAACAGTACTTCTTCTAAGGTAACAATAAAGTAATGGTCCTGGTGTACTGATGAGAAAGAAGTAATGTCATAATTCGTGGTATGATACTAATTTAAGTTTATACCATCTATCCATCAAGGTTAACTACATATTGACTAGTTGAGAACACATCAACGGCTATTTGAGTCTCTGTTTACTACAAGAGCAGACTGGTCAAACGTTTCCCTAGAGACTGGAAAGTACTGGAGCACTGTCCAAATGGAGGCATTTCTTACACCCTACTACCGCAGAATAGGGACAAATACTGACATCATGAAAATATAAAAAGCCACCTTTAGCAAGCAAACACTGGCTTGGTGGACCATAAGTTTTACCTAAAAAGGAAATTCCTACAGGCTTAGAATATTGCTTAGTTATGACAATGTTTCTCAACTTATTCACAACCAACTCAGAATCACAGAGCTAAGGAAGGTCATTTGACAGTAACCAATATTATTGTTAGGCATAATTCACAAAAACTAAGGAAAACACAAAGTCATTTTTGGCATACTAAAGTTTCCAAATGACAGCTGAAAATTTATGTTGAGATTTTCAGGGTTTGACAAATCAGCAAATATACATGTTAATACCTCATTTTTCCCAATCTTTTCTAGAAATGAGGTAGATACACATGATTCGCCAGACAACTACAGCCTGTTCATTTAAAATGCTAATGCTTTCATTACTCAATTGCAATGGAAATATCTCCAAAATGCATTACACTTTTTTTTCTTAATGATTCATGAACCACAATTATTTTAATAGGCTATAAAACTACCATATAGCCTCATGCAAAATGGCCCAGATAACTCTATTGTTTAATTCTTATGTATGCTTTGGCCAGTTTCTTTCCTTTCTGTTGCCACCAGCCGTTGAGCTTTATTTCTCAATGGCATCCGTGTAACATCCTCTGGAAGTTCCCTTTCCACCTTCGAACACTGATGCGTTATATATTAAAAAAAAAAAAATGTAGTCAGGATGAGTAGATAAACTGGATTAGATTAAATAAATTATGCCAAGAAGTTAAGAGGGTCTATTTCCTGAGTTCTTATCTATGTTTTGGCTAGGTAAGATTGCTAAGTGCTTTTTAAAATTTTAGTTTTTTTGATAAATTGTGTATTTCCATGCTACTACGTTACGAAATTCAATCCCTTGAAGATAAAAATCTCTTTCTGAGGAAGGATTGCATTTCACAAGGATTGGATCATCACTGTTGCTTCAAGCTGGCCTCCTGGCATGAATTCACATTATGTCTCTGGTTCATTTTGCCTAACTTAGGCATTCGGGATCTTGCCTGATTTGCCTCAGGGGTGGACAAAATGAAGAAGGGTAAGTAGGGTGTGACATCACTTTTGGAAGAGGTATATTGTTGCTAATAGTTTAACGCAATTTTGTTCTTGCCTGCTAAGTAGTGCTATGGGGCCAGATAAATTTAGCAATGAGAATTTCCCCTCTGACTTGTTTCCATGACAGAGTCTGGGACATTTTTAGCTCAGCTGAATTAAGTAAGGTCTATAGTAAAGGGGACATTCTAGAATGGAATTTTCCCACTGATAGATGATATATCGTAACCACCCACTCATGGGCTAGAGAAAACAGAACTTTCAAAAGTGATAAACTTCCTTGGAATATTTAGGCAGAGAGAAATGTAATCTGGTCAGCCCATTTCTTTGATGCAACAGTCTGAAACCCATGGACTCTGGGTAGGATCTGGCCCAAGTGCCAAGTAAAAAAGATAATTTGGTACCTGTCTTGGAAGAGCTTTCTAGTCAGTTTCAGAGATGGGGCACACATGTCAAAGAGCCCTACCTAGTTCCTCGTAAGCTCAACCCCAACTTCCCTAAATCAAGGCTGGGAGGACAGTGAAAGCACGCATGTTCTCATGGTAAAGGGTTCTGGCATTCACTTACTTGGCTTGTGCCAACACTCCAATGACTTCTGCATACAGGTCTGCCACAATATGCATATTGCCAGTGTTGGGACCAAGGTACCTAAGTAGGGTATAATTAGACAAGTTAGGGATCCCTGGTCATCTGAAAAAAGCAAACCACTGATTTAGTTTTAAATACCAACTTCAACATTCTAAGAAATCACCTTACCCTTCTTTGTATTTAAAGTGCTTGAAAGCCAAGTTAATAACATCATGTATTAAACTGTCTATTACAGGATGAAGTGGAATCTGAAAAAAAAAGGTGGTTCTTAACTCAGAAGGGAATATTAAAGAACAAATCAATAACAGTACTTCCAATAACGATATATGACAATCAATAGCAATCAATAAACATAATTCACATAACTCAGTATTTGGAATTCATAATTTTAAAAACTTAAGACTTTTACAACCTAAGCAGTTTTTAGATCAATAAATATTATCTAAAAGTAACAATAAATTAATCACCTACCTGTTTCAAAACTTCTATTAATACTAAAGAGAAAATAAAATCAATGGCGAGGTCCCGTCTTTCCATTAAATAATCTCGCTGTTGTTCATCACTGTAAAATTTAAAATATTTACATTAAAGCACACTGAAGGTATTCTCAGAGTAATATAATTCATCAAAAATCTAGGACTCCTCCCGAAAAGACTGCAAAACCCATTTTTTAAATTACGTAATTGTACTGGTAGACAGATGTTAATGTTGGCCAGGTGGAGTGGCTCACGCCTGTAATCCCACCACTTTGGGAGGCTGAGGTGGGTGGATCACCTGAAGTCAGGAGTTCGAGAACACCCTGGCCCACATGGTGAAACACTGTCCCTACTAAAAATACAACAATTAGCCAAGCTTGGTGGCCCATGCCTGTAATTCCAGCTACTTGAGAGGGTGAAGCAGGAGAATTGCTTGAACCCAGGAGGCAGAGGTTGCAGTGAGTTGAGATCACACCACTGCAGTCCAGCCTGGGTGACAGAGTGAGACTCCATCTCAAAACAACAACAACAACAACAATAAAAACACATTAATGCTCTTTCTAGTCTCTGTGTGCTGCAGTGGACAAACACTGGATTTGAAGTCGGAATATTTGAATTCAAATTTAAAATTTTCAGTGACGTTAACTTGAGTAGCTATTTGTGAGTCCATCACCTCACCTTGTGGTCTTTTCTAAGGTAGCATTCAACTCAGCAATTCTACCATCTGTAGAATGAGACAGGCTACCATACCAGAGGTGGACATTGAAAGATCTCGTGAAAGGAGCTAAACAATGTAAGGAAACAAGAAGGAAATAATATGATCACTAATTTGAGCAGGACGGCAGGGGTGAAGAGGATCGGCTTTTTTTCTTTTCTTTCCCCGTCCCTTTTCTCTTACATCTTTGCCACCTGAGACTTAGTGAAAGGAGGAATGAAGAAGTGAAGGGGTGGTGAGAGAGAAGAGTAAAAGGCAGAAGGAAGAAGAGGTAGGAGGAGCAAAGCAGTCATTTGTGCTTATTTGAAAGTTAGAAGCATGGTGTTTTGGTGACTATGGCCTTATAGTATAATTTGAAATCAGGTAGTGTGATGCCTCCAGATTTGTTCTTTTTGCTTAGTCTTGCTTTGGCTATGCGGGCTCTTTTTTGGTTCCATATGAATTTTAGAATTGTTTTTTCTAATTCTGTGAAGAATGATGGTGGTATTTTGATGGGGATTGCACTGAATTTATAGATTGCTTATGGCAGTATGGTCATTTTCACAATATTGATTCTACCTATCCATGAGCATGGGATGTGTTTCCATTTGTTTGTGTCACCTATGATTTATTTCAGCAGTGTTTTGCAGTTTTCCTTGTAGACGTCTTTCGACTCCTTGGTTAGGTATATTCTTAAGTATTTTATTTTTATTTTTATTTTTTGCAGCTATTGTAAAAGGGGTTGGGTTCTTGATTTGATTCTCTGCTTGGTCCCTGTTAGTGTATAGAAGAGCTACTGATTTGTGTACATTAATCTTGTATCTGGAAACTTTGCTGAATTCTTTTATCAGTTCTAGGAGCTTTCTGGAGGAGTCCTTAGGGTTTTCAAGGGAAATGATCATATTGTTAGCAAACAGCGACAGTTTGACTTCCTCTTTACTTATATGGATGCCCTTTATTTTGCTCTGGCTAGGCCTTCTAGTACTATGTTAAAGAAGAGTGCTGAGAGTGGGTATCCTTGTCTTGCTCCAGTTCTCAGAGGGAATGCTCTCAACTTTTCCCCATTCAGTATTATGTTGGCTATGGGTTTGTCATAGATGGCTTTTATTACATTAAGTGTGTCCCTCGTATGCTGATTTTGCTGAGAGTTTTAATCATGCAGGGATGCTGGATTTTGTCTAATGCTTTTTCTGCATCTACTGAGATGATCATGTGATTTTTGTTTTTAATTCTGTTTATGTGGTGTTTACAGCTAACCAATCTTCAACAAAACAAACAAAAACATAAAGTAGGGAAAGGACACCCTTTTCAACAAATGGTGCTGGGATAATTGGCTGGCCACCTGTAGGAGAATGAAACTGGATCCTCATCTCTCACCTTATACAAAAATCAACTCAAAATGGATTATGGACTTAAACCTAAGACCTGAAACTACAAAAAATTCTAGAAGATAACATTGGAAAAACCCTTCTAGACATTGACTTAGGCAAGGATTTCATGACCCGAAACCCAAAAGCAAATGCAATAAAAACAAAGATAAATATGTGGGACCTAATTAAACTAAAGAGCTTTTGCATGGCAAAAGGAACAGTCAGCAGAGTAAACAGAGAACCCACAGAGTGGGAGAAAGTCTTCACAATCTATACATCTGATAAAGGACTAATATCTAGATTCTAAAATGAATGCCAACAAAACAGTAAGAAAAAAACAACCCCACCAGAAAGTGGGCTAAGGACATGAATAGACAGTTCTCAGAAGAAGATATACAAATGGCCAACAAACATGAAAAAATGCTCAACATCACTAATGATCAGGGAAATGCAAATCAAAACCACAATGCCATACCACCTCACTCTTGCAAGAATGGCCATAATAAAACAAAAATAAAAAAAACAGTAGATGTTGGCGTGGATGTAGTGAACAGGGAACACTTCTACAGTGCTGGTGGGAATGTAAACTAGTATAGCTGCTATGGAAAACAGTGTGGAGATTCCATAAAGAACTAAAAGTAGAACTACCATTTGATCCAGCAGTCCCACTACAGGGTATCTACCCAGAGAAAAAGAAGTCATGATTCGAAAAAGATACTTGCACATGCATGTTTATAGTGGCACAAATCATGATAGCAAAATCGTAAACCAACCTAAATGCCCATCGATCAATAAGTGGATAAAGAAACTCTGGTGCGTATATATGTATGTGTATATATATATATACACACACACACACACACACACACACACACACGAGATAAAATACTATGCAGCCATAAAAAGGAATGAATTAACAGCATTTGCAGTGACCTGGATGAGACTGGAGACTATTATTCTAAGTTAAGTAACTCAGGAATGGAAAACCAAACATCGTATGTTCCCACTGCTATGTGGGAGCTAAGCTATGAGTATGCAAAGGCATCAGAATGATACTCTGGGGGCCAGGCATGGTGGCTCATGCCTATAATCCCAGCACTTTGGGAGGCCAAGGTGGGTGGATCATGAGGTCTGGAATTCAAGACTAGCCTGGCCAACATAGTGAAACCCCGTCTCTACTAAAAATACAAAAATTAGCAAGCACAGTGGTGCGTGCCTGTAGTCCCAGCAACTCGGGAGGCTGAGGCAGGAGAATCGCTTGAACCTGGGAGGCGGAGGTTACAGTGAGCTGAGATCATGCCATTGCACTCCAGCCTGGGTGACAGAGTGAGACTCAGTCTCAAACAAACAAACAAACAAACAAAAAAGAATGATACAATGGACTTTGGGGACTTGGGGGGAAGAGTGGGAGGGGAGCGAGGGATAAAAGACTACAAATATGGTGTAGTGTATACTGCTCAGGTGATGGGTGCACCAAAATCTCACAAATAAGCACTAAAGAACTTACTCATGTAATCAAATACCACCTGTACCCCAATAACTTAGGGAAAAATAAGTAAATTTTTTAAAAAAGTTAGAAGCAAAATCAGCACTGTCAGAAGAACAGCAAGGCAGCCCCTCTACCCCATTTTCTGCTTGACTAACACACTGATTGAGGGCTCATCTGGAACTGAACAAAGGCAGATGAAATTACTGCTGGGCTCCTTGGTACAAGAAGTGGCCCAGAGCACTGACTCTGGTGTGGAACAGTCTGGCATAAAATCATCCCTCTTCTATTTATCGACAGTTTCTCCATCCATAAAATGTGAGTAATAGTACTTACATAATCGTTTGAGAAGATAAAACACGTAAAGTGTTTAGCATAATTTCCCAAACACATAAATGCTCAATAGTGTATATTAAATAAAACCAATGAGGAGGGATGACAGGATTTAGACTTGCCAGGAGGATATTTTCAAAATAAATCAAGACTATTTTAAATCTGGAATGTTTTTCTCCTTAGTCAAAAGGGAAGAAGAAGAAAATAATGTGATATTTAAGATATAAAGAAGACCTTCCGGAGTGCTCTGGAGCTTTGAGCAAGTCAAATTAAGGTTGGTGGATGGTAGAACGGGTTAAGAAGGAACTCGCATGTTTATCTTTCAAGGGGTAAAGGTATCAACAGAGTAGGAACTCATTCTTTCAGGATCATTTCTTAACAGCCCTGCCAGGAGGAAGAACCGTGAATAAAACCATCTATGTAAAGTCCTTGAAGACCCACTGGAACTAGAAAGTGGCACTGCCAGCTGGGGGAAAGGAAAACCTACGCAGCTGCATTAAAAAGGAGGGCACTCAGAAATCAGGCTTTATACCCATTATATTACAGAATAAGGAGACAGAAAGTTGGAAAGACCAAAAGGAAGGAGAACTCCCACAGATGGCCGCGGCAGTCGAGAGAGTGTTTTTGTGCTGGATGATAAGGGTCTTCACAAGGGGCCAGAGGAACCTGAGAAAGTAGCAGTTCTTGGCAGAAAAAAAAAAATTTAGACCTTCGATTCTATTTTATTTAATAAGCCAAATTATCTTTTCAAAGTAAGACATACACATTTCTAATAATGAATTCAACTTTATTGCTGGTTTGCAGTCTAACTGCCAGGAGCCAGAGGCATTTGACAAATTTACTTGGCAGTCCAAATGTTGATATTGTACTAATCTTAGAAATCACAACCCAATGTGCATCCCTGACATTTGACTATTTTCAGTAGTTTATGCTCCTCCTTTATGTCCCCCCAACCTTTTTTTCCTAGTAACAGAAACTCACATTTAGCTACATCATACCCTAGAGAGCTTCATTCATTTGGCTGTATTCTAAGCATATTTTCTCTTTTATTTAAAAAATTCAAGTGTTAACTAAAATGTTACTAAGTCAAATTTTGCTGTCCCGATTCTCTATCTGATCTCAGTGGTTACTCTGATCTCCTGAAAATAATCAGTAACACAATTTTAAAAGCTATCATTTTTAATCCATAAAGAAATCAATTCATGAAAAATCTAATTTCAGCAATTAAATTCTGACAAAACAGAGGAACAAAACTAAAACTCAATTCAACTCACTAAAATCTGTCCCACTCCCTAAACCTAGGAAGGTTTAATATCTGTTCATAAGTAAACATGTAATATGGAAAAAATAATAAAATGATCCATTTAATTTCTTTGTCACATGGTCTGAACCATTTTTCAGATAAAAAATTTAAATTCTATTTTTAAAACTTGACAAATTAAAAAAAATATTCATGAGGAGAGACTGCTAATGGGTACAGGATTTGAGGGTGATAAAATGTTCTGAAATTAGAATGGTAATGGTTGTACAACCCTGTAAATATACTAAAAACATTGAATTCTATACTTTAAAAGGGTGAATTTTATGGCATCTGAGTTATGTCTAAAAATTCTAAAAATTTCCTTCTTCGCTAAAAAAAATTCAATATGAAAAAGTTATTAATCTCTCTCCCAAACAAAATTATATAATTAAATCTTGCATAAATTCAAGCACATTATAAAAGCAGATTACAAATTTGGTTGAAGTAAAACATGGTAATAATATAATTCTTCAATTTCAAAGGAAGTCTTTTGAAACAGTATTAGGACTTTCAAGAAAAATGAGAGAAATAAATCATTCACAAAAAGTAGTTAATGTCTGATTTTCTGATTGACTAATTTCAGTTTACTGACTTTAAAAGTATTTTTTTAATCGGAATAATCTGTTCATGTGGAGAAATCTAACTACTTTTTAAAATAATCTTTTATTTTTTTTTAAAAAGTAAATGTATTAATCTTTCTTATATTCACTGCCTTGCTATAGGTTGACTTCAAACATATGAAATTATATGTGCTTACCTAAAATGTGGGGGGGACACACATTAATGAGGATCTTAAGTTTTACAGATGCTGATGTGCTCCTGGAGCAGCAAGCACCATTTCTCAAACCCACAAGAAGACGGGAACACAGAATAAATAAACAAAATACTCAGCTGGAAGGAGGAGTTGGAGATTGTGTCACCTAACTTCCTTGTTTTGTTCACAAGGAGGCTGAGGTACAGAGAGGCGGGGAGCTGCCCAGAGTCACATGGCTAAATAGTGGCAGTGCCAGGACTACCACTAGTGTCCAGTCCTGCATCCTTCCCACTACAGTACACTGAGCACTCAAGGTTACTGGAACGAGGACTAAAATATCTTGGCATGTTACGCAGGGCCTGCAGTCAGCATTCTGCTTTGGGTGTAGACTCAGTGGGAGAGGGCAGAGGAAAGAAGCTGGCAAGAAAGTGACCTGCGGCCCTTCACACCTGTCTCCACCAAAGTTGAAATGAGGCTGTGTATGTATTTTCAACCTGTGACGGCTGGCAGTGACTCGGTGCTCCCAGTGGGTTACCTGCTATGGACACAGGTCCCCTGCAGCACCTGCTAGGCATCCTTGTGAAGAGTCAGGAAGACCCAATTGCCTTGTAACTCTAATTTTGATTTATATTTCTTGAAAATAAAACAAAATAAAACCATGATCCTTACACAAAAGAAATGTACCTTTTTGATTTATTGCTTGTTCTTGGTCTGTATTCATGCGATTCATCCTCAATGCCATTTTGCCTTTTATACCAGTCAAATAATGTACGTAGAATGGAAGGCAGGCAGTACTCAGAAAGCGAGCTCATTGAGTTGATGACCTACGGAGGAAAATGCAGGTGATCAGAACACTGGTAGCACCACCAATTACTAAGAAACTTTTTATTTCACAAGTAACCCCAAGCACTACTCACTAAAATATTTTCTTAGATATCACAGTCCTTTCTTTCATAATCTTTATTAGTACATTCCCAAGAGCCTGTCTCTTAATGGAGACAGATGTTCCTCATATAAGAATAATTTTGTAATTCAAGAAAGTTAATTATTTTGACTCCCTTTCATTCTAGAAATCAGATGTTAATTGCATACAGGATATTCATGGAACCACAAAGATATTATGTTCCCATGTTCGTCTACCTAAAGTAGATGAATGCTTCTTCTGTCCTAAAAATGTTTGTTGTATAAGTATATCAATACAATTACATTAATAATTTACGTGAATTAAACAAATCTACCCCCATCGCCAAATAACCTAAGAGGTAATAATAATGTATGGTTTTGGACAATAATTATTCATTCATTCATCTGAAGTATGCCCCAAATTAGACTCAAAATACAAATGGGCAGCAATAATGTACCCCCTATTACATTAAAGGCAAACTTCTCCCTTTTTCTTTAAAGAACAAATGTGCTTTTGGTAGAATTGTTATTCTAATTTCCTTATCTGGAAAGAGTCCTGATTTTTTAACTGATTACTATTTAAAAAAACCAAAAAACACTTCAATCCATATCTCATTATCCTATGCAAAAGTTTCCACAAAATGCCTCATAAATTTAAGTATAAAACCCAAAAATATAAAACTCCAAGAAAACATAGGATAAAACTTTTGTGACTTTGGATTAGGCAAGGATTTCTTAGGTATGGCCCCATAAGCAAAGTCCATGATAACATTTGATATAATGAAACTCGTCAAAATCAAAAGCTTCTGCTTTTAGAAGAATACAGTTAAGAACGTGGTAACGGACAAGTCACAGAGTGGGAGAAAATATTTGCGAAACACACATCTGACTAAGGCCTTGTCTCTAGAATATGTAAAACTATAATGAAACAGGTTTTAACTACCTAATTAACAAACTTTATAAGCAAATTATAACACCCAGAGTTGATGAGTAGTGATAAAGTGGACGTGTTCATATACTGCTGACAGAAAAAAAAAAACAGGCATAACATCTCTGGAAGGTAATTTGGAAATACATATCAAGAACCTAATAAAAATCATTCTCAAGGCCACTCTTAGAATTTATCTCAAGTCCATAATTAGAGATAAGCAAGAAGGTGCAGGACAGCATTACTTATTATAGCAAAAGGATGGAAACCACATAAATGTCCAGCTACATGTAAATGCTTAATAAGATGTGGAATTTGGTGCAGACCATTTATGAAACCATTAAAATCATATTTTTAATATAAATATAAAAATATGACATGAAAATGTTCATGATATGGTATGTGAAAAAAATGAAGAATCATTTAATTGGTATGATTCCAATTTGGTAGAGACACTATGTAAGTACACATATGCAGCAAATAGGACCGGGAGGAAACATACTAACATGTAGAGTACATGTGAAAACCAGGGGTTCTTAGGCCAGATCCACAGAGGGAGAGGGAGGCTGGGAATTTAAGAGAAATGAAGATGAGTTTACCTGGGCTTATTTTAGAAAGGGTAGAAATTTGAGATGAGACTCAAGAAAAAAAATAAGCAAAGACTCAAGGTAGAAAAAGCCTTTAGTAATGAAGGTACAAAGTAACTGTTGATGATTATCATAATCGATGTGACGAAGGTTTTAAGTGAAATGAAAGAAGAAATATCTGACTGGTGTGAAGACTTTATTTTGCCAGAGTGAAGGAACATAATGCTGAAAATTTTTCTTCTCCAGAAAATTGGAAGACTCTAAAGATTTTTGAATAGGGACATAAGCCCATACAAATTGTGTATGGGGAGGTTAAATCCCCCAAATGGTGGGGTGAGGTGGAGGCGAATTCACACACATGCTTGAATTGCATGTGATGGCAGTCATTCCAGGCATTTGGTGATCTCGGCCTGAGAGGCAGAGATGGCAGAAGAAATGGAAATCCTTAGTTAACTCATAGTATTTTTGCAGTTAAGCAGGCCATGCTTCACTTCCTTTTATAAAGCAGGAAATGAGAGCAAAGGGAGCTAAAGTGCTTTGTGTCAATAGGATTTTCCACTGTCACCTTTAAAAGAAACCTTAAGATTGAACAAAATATTTATTGCTTTCTTCCTCACATTCTACCTCTTCATAGCCTACTTCATGCTCTCTCTCCTATAATGATGGTGATATGTACACCAAATATTTTCTCCCGCTCTGTGGCTTGTCCCTTACCACGTTCTTAACTGTATTCTTCTAAAAGCAGAAGCTTTTGATTTGTACATTATCTTTAGTTATGAGTTAATATAAGGTAAAAATAAATAGGCTATTGCGTTCAGCCTGCCCTGTAAACCTACTCAGCATGAACTTTTTAAAACTGAAGAGCTATCTAATTATTTAAAGAGTCACTCTTACCCCAACTCTACACAGCCAAGACATATTTTTCCTGCTGTGGTCATGAATGCAACAGCAGTAACTTTTCAGAAGAGAGCTAATTATGATGTGGCAAGGTAGTAATTCACTAATTCTCTCTAAAGTTACCCCAACACGAGAAAGGATATTTACTTTCCTAAGTCACCATTATTTAAAATGTTTTGAATTGAGAAATGAAGCACTTTCCTCCCATAGAAGAAAAAGGGATCAGAATTCCGTTTGTTATTATAGGATGACGATCTTAATTATTACATAGGTAATGAAATTTCAAAGCATTACAATTATATTTCAATCATTTAAAAATACTTGTGTAAGTCTGGCGAATCTAAGGAGACATGATGACTAAACATTCATGTGGTATGCTAAATGGTATCTTGGAACAGAAAAAAGGTATCAGGGAAAAAGAAAGGAAATACAAATAAAGCATGGCACAGAGTTTAGTTAACAATAATGTGCACGGAAGCTCTGCATCCCTTCCCCAATAGCTTGCCCTACACGTCTCTTCATCTGTATCCTTTGCAATGTCCTTTATAGTAAACCACTAAAAAAGCCCAACACATAAAACAATAATGGTTTCTTAGTTGTGACAAAAGTACCATGACAATGTAAGATGCTAGCAGTAGGGGAAGCTGGCAACTGCCTGAATTATCTTTGCAACTTTTCTGCAAATGCAAAACTATTTCCAAATAAAAAAGTTTATTCAAAAAACACATGTGTGGGATATTTACAAGCTCCAATATTCACTATAGACCCATAAGAGAGACTGAAACTTACGTTTGACTCCTAAACATCTCTAGGCAATGCATGCAATGTTCTGCTACTTCACTCATGTGGAACCCCCATTCTCCATAGAGAACTTCCACAGTGTTCATCAGACCTCATCTATAATAATTTCTTAAAATATATTTTTTTTCTCCCCATTAAAAAGTCACCCTGAATCCATTCTTGGTATTAGATCTACTGGACGTACTTTCCACGGCAAAACACTGAGACCATCTCAGAAGGGATGAAAGGTCAGCATGGGGTGGATGTGTGTGTTTTTCCATCTTTCTGTTACTGCCCTTCTGAGCTCAGGCTTTCAGGAAGGAAGGGTGGAATCTGCAAAGACCCGGCCCTCAAAGCTCAGGAAGGGAGGAAGGTCTAGCTGGCTTCTTGGTTACTCAACTCCTTCATTTACGGGAAGCAGAGCCAATGGTAAGATGAATTCTAGCTCTGTGCTGCCGCTGAAAGAGGGCAGGCCCATTGACAAAGATGTTCTTGTTGCATTTAAATGATCATATTCTTCCACCACAGATGAGCTAGTGAGCTAGGTACTGGGCAGCACGAAGAGATGAAGTGCACAGAATCACAGAACTATTTCGTACTGGTGTTTTCTTTTTTGGGGGGAAAGAGAAGAAAACTAAATGTACTTTGTAAATGTTTTAATGTTTACTTTGGCAGTTTATGTATAAATAGGCCAAAAGAGACTGTTATGCTGCAGCTAAGACATTGATTTTTCATAAGCATTTTATTATACTTGTTAAATGCAAAGAAGGAAACTTTACACATAAATATTTGAATAATTACTCAGTGGAGTCATTCCATATTTTATAGTAATAAGACTGGCTTCTTGTAAATGGTACATGTAATGAATAATTTTAAAGTAACTGCACTGATGGTCTAATTCTCAAACAAATTCAAGTGGTCAAGCAACTTTGGGGGGCCACGATACTCACTGTGTAATACCATAACATGCTGATATCTTTATTTCAAATGCAATTTATTTATACTTGATCACATATCATACTATTGCTAGATTATAGTATTTGATGAGTAATGACAAAGATTTAAGAATAGTTTCATAGAAAAACTTAATATAAAAATCTATACATCAAATGTATTTTTTTCGTTCAAGTTAGGAAAAAGATCATTATTTGATTTTAACATCTTGGTTCATTTCATAGAACGCAGTGTACCACTAGAGAATAATTTAAGCAATGCTGACTAACACTAACTAACACTAATGTAAATCCAATGCCAGTTAAATTGCTTCACTCTTAATTGCTTACATTCTTTATTTATACATTTTAAATAGATTTTCATTAAATTGTAGCATTAGAGCCAATGTTGAAACACTAGAATTGCATCTGCTTCCTTTTCTGGAAAATTACTACTACCCAAGATGGTAAAAAGTGATTTTAGCTTGTTTATAGAGGTGTGAATATGTTTTACCATGTGTTTCCTGTTTACAGATAGTATTTAAACATATTAAGAAATAAAGTAAACAGTACATAAGTACAAAAGTACATAAGACATAACATCTGGAAGAAAACTTTAACTGAAGTTACTTAGAATGTTTGGACAAATTATCTGCAATTCACAGAAACGACAGTAGTTAAGAATGTAAGTCACACTCAATTGCAAATAGTTACAACTTAATGTTCTCAGAACCCAGCATGTGATGGCTGACCCCTCATGTGCCATGTTTTCATATTCTAGTGTATTGGACAATCAA